CACACACACACACACACACACACACACACACACACACACACACACACACGGGTACCAGGTTTATCTGATTTCAACTGTGAAGGAGAGATTCCCATTATAGAAGCTGAGGGACTTAAGTACTCACCTGAGTAACCGGCAGCTTTAGCATTCTAACCCAGGCCAATTTGAGTCTAAAGGCAGGGTTCATTTATGCTTCCACAGCATGTGTCTCCAGAGCAGAAATTCTTAACTGAAATCCATAGACAGAATTGCAAGGAGGCCCGCAGATGAAAAAAAAAAAAAAAACATTTTTATTTTCTCCTGTTTCTGACTGATATTTAGCATTTCCTACAAATCAGAATGTGGGTGACAAACAAGTACCTGAGACTTTGGCACCGTTAGAAATCACACAATTTGATATCATATCAGAATTGTTATAGCTGTCTCAAATTGTGATTCATGTCCATCACTATTCCAAAATGTCAGTACAGTAATTAACAGACCTACTACAGGATCTCGCTATTTCGTTCATTAATAAAGAAGCACTGTGGTAGGCAGGGGGCTCCCAAAAAATAGAATTCTGCTGGTCAGCATTTACCAGTTGCCCTGGTGTAAATACTTCTACCTTTGTTAATGTTAAAGGTGGCTACATTTAACAAGTGGTTTGCAAATTTCCTAAGAAGAACAAGACAGCTCTAGCACATCATTGGCGCAAAAAATGGGTTTTCCTAGGCCCATGTCCCCGCAAAGCACCTCTCTTCCCTGAAACTTCTGCAGCCTTCGGTGTGGTACTACTAATAATAAAAATAGATTTTTTAATATGCATGTTCGGTTCTGACTCTAGTCTAAGCATAATCATAGGCACTTAATGTGAAATATCTCATTTAAACTACCAACAATCCTACAAGGCGGATATTATTGAAGTTGTTCTAAACTGAAAGTGAGTACAGAAAGGAAAAGATGTGGTTTTCCTCCTGGAAACATTTGGCAAAGTCTGGAGACATCCTTGGTTGTCATAACTGGGTTTACTACTGGCATCTAGTGGGTAAATGCTGAGAAGCATCTGACAACAAAATATAGAACACACTCCCCATCCAACAAAGAATTACCCAGCCCAAGATGTCACTAGTGCTGACATTGAAAAACAAAAATTTTTTTTGAGACAGGATTTCACTACACAGCTCCAGCTGGCTTTGAATTCACTTTGTAACCCAAGCTGAGCTTGAACTCACAGTGATCCTCCTGTCTCAACCTCCCAAGAACTGGGATTACAGGTGTGTGCCACCAGGCCCAGCCTCTCAAAAATTCTTTACTACTGCTATTCCCTTTTCAAAGAAGGGAAAACTGCAGTCCATAAGGTTACTTTGTCCAAGTTCACACAGTTTTCATATGGTAAGTTCTGTATGAGCACTAGTTCCCACCCTCTCCCTGACTTCCCCTCAGTAGTTGTAGGGAGAATCACTTACCAGAAAGAATGAACCTGCTGGGCTTCACCTTGGCAATATGAGTCCAAGACTTGTCACTTGAAGGCTCCAGCACTAGGTTTTGGTGGTTCCAACCCTAGCTGCTTCTGAAAAGCAAGGACATGTAGCCCCAGAAATCATTCCCAAATGAGATCAACCAGATGGCCCACTGGGCTAGGTGTCAGTCACTTTTCTTGTTCCTAGGACAGAAGACCTGACACTCACATCTTGAGAGGGGAGAGGTGTATTTGCTTCACGCTTTTAGTCCAGAGTTGGCTGGCTCCAAAGCTGGATGGCATGGCAGAGGGGAATAGCAAAGCAAAGATGCTTAGCTCATGGCTGTCAGGAAGCAAAAGCAGAGAGTCAGCGCCAGAGAGGAAGGGTCAGGGAGCAGATATAATACCCAAGGTCATGCCTCCATGATCCATACAGACACCCCCAGAAACGTACCCCACTGGTCCCCTAGGAGGCTTCCAAGCCAATCAAATTGACACAGTGAAGTTTAACCTCCAGAGAGGACATCATCTCAGAGATACCAGCAAGGCAGGTGGTGAGGCACTGCAAAAGGAAAAGGTGATGTAGTTTAGTCATCAAAAGGAAGTCACTGAGGCTGGGGCACAGAAGGTAGAGAGCAAGGCAGTTCATCACCAAAATGTAAAGAGGTCAGCCGGGCCCACTGGGCTTTGTAAGACTACGTCCCCTCACAGTATGTGCATAGGACCTTCGGTCAGGTGCTACAAAGTGAGCCCCAAGGGCCGGGCGTGGTGGCGCATGCCTCTAATCCCAGGACTCAGGAGGCTGAGGCAGGAGGATCACTGTGAGTTCGAGGCCCGCCTGGGCTACAAAGTGAGTTCAAAGCCAACCTGAGCTCCTTAGTGAAGCCCTGTCTCAAAAAGGCAAAAAAAAAAAAACACAAAGTGAGCCCCAGTATATAAGGGATGAACAGTGAGTGGCTGGGATGAAGGAAGGCAGCTAGAGGTACCTGCAAGGACTTCTAGACTCTCCCTGCTCTCACCCACCTCCCTTAACCTAACATCTTCTGCCCACCCAAGATCCCCAGATGCCAGAAATCAAAATGTGTGTGTGTACATGTATATATGCGCAACAATGATGATAACCAAACAACCAAATGGAATTGGGCAAATTCTCAGCTCTAAAGTCAACCACTGCACAGGGAAACCAGCAATGACTCCATGCTGAGAAAGTCACTCTAGGAACTGGTCATCTGATTAGCTTCGGCCCACTGATGCCTAATCACTGCACTGTTCAACAGCAGTTGGATGGGCTGGTGCTCCACAGCTGGATTAACTTTGCTGAGTGGATTAACAAACTAAGCTCTGCTCAAAGCCCAGAATTCCAGACTGAGAGTCTCCGCTCAAAGAGCAGGAGACACAGGAGGGTAGGAAGGCAGGGAGTTAGAGAGGGAGAGGAACAGAACAGGAGTCCTCAGTGTGGGCCAGCAGTATGTGAAATTCACATTTTCTTGTCTAATCCTTCCAGCCATCCATTTAAGCAATCTTGCTTCCCCCGTTATCCATTCAGTGACTCTATTAGATGCTGTCAGGTCCAGGGTTGGAAAGCAGGTCTTTCTTTTCCTCACTGAAATTCCCTCCCAAAGTTTGAATTTCACTGCCAGCAATTCAAGAAGCTCACGGTCCACTCAGAATTTAAATAAGTGAGCTGAGGAGCCACCAGTTGCCCAAGGCAAATAGAAGAGAAGAAATATCGCCCTGACATGGGGAGGAAATGCTCATCAGAATTTGCCTGAATCCTCTAGAAATAATGAATGCCAGGGTGAGAAAAAGTGTTGGGGACAAGGAGGTCCATTTAACAGTGTAAAGGGAATAATGTTTTGATTTGGTTTGGGGGTTGTTTTTAAGTTTTGGAATTTTTTTCATTTTTCTGTTTTGTTTTTTGGGTTATTTGGGGGCTGCTTGTTTGTTTATTTATTTGTTTGAGACAGGGCCTCAGTATTAGTTCAGGCTGGCCTTGTACTTACCATGTAGCCCAAGCTGCCCTTAAACTCGCAGCAATCCTCTTTCCTCAGCCTCCTGTGTGCTAGGATTACAGGTGTGCGCCACCCCACCAGCAGGGATAATGTTTTGAAACTATCAAATAGATTCATGACTTTTCATTTCCGTGGATCATGATGCCGTGTCCCTTTCCCCACTACCCCCCAACCCCATTAAATCAGACTTTAGCAGTTTAAGAGAAGTGAGATCGCCTGAAATAAAGAGGCCATAGCTCCACTTTGAGTCTGTATGGAGACAATCACTTTTTTTTTTTTTTTTTTTTTTTTTGGTATTGGGACTTGAACTCAGGACCTTGCACTTGCCAGGCAGGTGCTGTGCCACTGAGCTATATCCCTAGCTGGAGACAATTGTCATAAAAACTGGCCTGAGTGAGGGTAGAGAGAGATTTTGAATTCCAAAATCTCTTTCCATATCAAAGGCAGAGCTTGGGGGTTTAGGCCTGAAGTTTCTTGTAAGCAGAGGAGAGATGGGATTCAGTGGGTGAGGTCAGGAACGTGTCCTCCCCGCAAGGAGTATCCTCTTCTAGACCTGGAGGTGGAAGCCAGGAAGCAGGAACATGTACAGAAAATGTGACCAGAAAAAAGCCATGGCCTGCATCGTCGGGGCACCTCAGCCTGAGGGCCCATGTGGAAAGTAAAGAAATAGCTGAGGAATAAGGAAAGATCAGAGGGGCTCTGCAGTGCTGAAGGCCTGAGACTGGCCTTGAGGTGCCAGACGAGCAGCCGTGGTGCAGAGGAATGGCAGCAGGACTGGGGAATCCATCAGGGCTTAGTCCCCAAAACACAGCCTCTGCAAGCAGGACAACCACAAATAAGAGGTCTCATATTGGAATGAGAACCTACGGGGTGCAGGAAGACTTGGAGACATGAAGGAAATCAGAAGGTCAGAAAAATAAACAGTCAGGATCATGTCTGCCAGAAACAACGTCACAAGTGGACATGCTAGAGCTTGCATGAAAACCCAAAAGGCCATTCCTGTCTGCCAAAAGGAGACCTGGAAAAGGGAGACCTTCTGGGGAGCCACAGCAACACAAAAGGAAAAAAGAGGGCAGATTTGAGGGGTCCTGGGAAGTGGACCTGAAAGATCAAGAGTGGTGTAGCTGGGGCTGGGTGCAGGAGCACAGGCCTGTAATCCCAGCTACTGGGGAGGCTGAGGCAGGAGGACCCCAAGTTAGAGGCCAGCCTGCACAACTTAGTAAGACTCCATCTCGAAATAAAAACTAAATGAGCTGGGAATGTGGCTCAGGGGAAAGCATTTTCCCAACATGTGCAGTACCCTGAGTTCAAGCCCCAGTACCATACACACACAACACAGAGAGAGAGAGAGAGCTGAGGAAGGGTGAGGAAAGAGGAGCAGGACCAGGACAGAGTGAGGCAAGTGAGACACTCACCCCAGACACTGCTATCATTTGGATGTGTCCCCAAAATTTCATGTGTTGGAAACTTTAGTCCCCAGTGTAACAGTGTTGGGAAGTGGGCTTTGTCCTCAAGAACAGATTCATCCATTCATGGGTTAATGGCTCACTGGCAGAGTGGCTTAGTTACCAGAAGTCTGCAAGACAATTAGGCCGCCTCTCAGGAGCACCCTCACCTTATAATGCCCTATGGCGCCTCTGGATTCTGCAGTCACCACCGGCAAAAAGTCCTCACCAGATGCTGGTGCCATCTTCTTGGCTTCTCAGGCTGCAAAACTGTGAGCTGAATAAAACTCTGCTCTTTATAAATTATCCAGCCTGGGGCTGGGGCTTTAGCTCAGTGGTGCAGCACCTGCCTGGCAAGTGTGAGAGATCCTGAGTTTGATTCCTGGTTTCAAAAAAAAAAAAGTATCCAGCCTGTGGCCATCCATTACAGTCACAGAGGGCAGACGAAAGCACCAAATATAAGGTAGACCTAAAAAAAAAAAAAGTTAATAATCAAGGTAGTGTTTTAATGCAATAATTTTTTTAAAAAATCAAGATGAATGCAAAAAACCCATGATGAAGAAGAACATACTACTAAGTTTTTCCTTTTGCCTCAGGCTTCAGTATGACTCAGCTCAGCAAGGTTACTGATCCTACATTGATTAAAATTTTTGACATTTTGTTCATCATAGATTTTTCACATTACCTTTCTTTTTAATATTGTACTAAAACACTATTTGCTATGTTTTTTTGATGCCCCCTTAAATTTTGCAACTGAAATGACTTCATTGATCTCATCAAATTGTAGCCCTAAGAAACAGGTCTAGGAAAGGAGGTCAAGCAAGATTTATGTACTACACACATGTACTAGTTAAAAACCATAAAACATTGTATAAAAATAAAAACAAATTAAAAGGGCTACAGGTATAGTTTGACAGTAAAACACTTGCCTAGCGTGCATGAAGAGCTGGGCTCAATCCCCAATGTTCCAGAAATAAGAAACTAACTAAATACTTTTTTAAAGAATTAAATGAGATCACAAATGTAAAGTGCCTGGGCCAGAGTAACCTCCAACCCACGTGCAGCAGATGCTGTGTGTAGCTGGCTCATTGTCCAGGCCTTACCATTTCAGGGAATACCAGCTGGTGGCCACCAGGTGAGACAGGCTGGAAATGTTGGATAATTAACAGCCCTGGAGCAGCCCTCCACTAACGATCACAGAGTCAGTATATAAATACCCCAACTCCCTCATCCCTCAAACAGGAAAATTTCAAGATGTAATTTCAAGACTCATTTCCCAGAGTCCCCAGGTAAGATTATACTCCCATCACCCACAGGTAACTGGCTTGATAATATACCTGTATTTATCAATCCTGTGAGCTTGATAATATACCTGTATTAGATACCTGCCTGGTCCCTTCTCCTTCTCAATTTCCCACCCTCCTAATCACGGTTCCTCCCAGATCCACTGTGCATACCTGAATGTTTGTCCCAGGACCTACTCCCAGGACAACCCAGACTGAGGTGCACATGTCCTTCCTTCCTTCAGCCGCTTCTCCGTGCAAACGCAGAATGCTCTGGGCACACTTGGAGGTCTGAGCATCCCTCAAAGAAGAGACCCCCCAGCTCCCAGCCGTCTCCGGGGAGGGAGCTCTGTACCGTGATTGCCCGCCAGCGCTGGAAGGCCTGGATCTGAAATGGGCTTGGTCGTGTTTCTATAATCTCTGCACCTTGAGTGGAAAAATAATTGGCAGGCACCTCTCCTGGCCATTAATTCTTTACAGCCAACTCTGAGCCCTTGGGGCAAAAAGTGATTGTCTGCACTTACTGCCAGCCTGGCCCTGAATTCAGAACAGGGAGCTTGACTCCCCCTTTCACCCTCTTTACAGACGCGTCTCCTTGTGCCTTCCCCATCTCCTCCCAGAGCCTGAGACGGGGCAGAGATGGCTGCTTTGCAGATGGGAGGAGATGAGAAATGGCCATCAGTCCAGACAAACTAAGGGTTAAGGTCCCTGGGTTAAAAATCATGAATGGGGGAGGCTTTATTCATGCTTTCTTTTCAAAAAATATTTTTTTCATCATCCATACTTCTTATATTTTCCCACGATCTCTGTTAATATTCCCAATGACCTCTGCAGCGGGGGTCATTACTGTGTCCACATTATGAGTACAGAGGTTCAGAAAGGGGAAGGGTCTTCAGCCCAGACCTCAGGCAGAAGTCGATTCCGTGGGGGTACGCAGCCCATTCTCTTCCTGAAGTCGTATGTTTGTTCTCTTCCTCAGCAGTCATTTCCTGAGTGCCTCCTATGTGCCAGGCCCCGTGCTGCACAGCACAGTTACAGTGTCGATTTCTTTGGCTTTGGGTCCGCCCTTGACAGCAGTAGGGCACCCTTCTGGGTGTGTCTGTGTGGGTCATGGAAGCGTGGTTTGGGGTCCATATCTCGTCCCTCACTTCTTCCTCCCCAGCACTGTTCTGCTCTGCTTCCCAGCTGCCAGGAGCCAAGGAATTTTGCTCCGCCAAACCTTTCCACCATGATGGGCCTGCCTTGGAAGCAGCCAATCCTGTATTGAATCCCGTGAGCGAAAATAAATCTCTCATCCTTTAAACTGTGAGTGTCATATACTGTGTCCCAGCAACAGGAAAGCTGACTGATACATTGGGACCAAAGGAAGACTTAAGGATCAGTTTTTTACAAACACTTATTCCCTCTGGGAAGGAGAAATAAAATGTCTCCCATCCCACCCATTCTGTACACCGATAGTAAGCACATGTTTTTATCATGTTTATGTGTTGCCTGTGATGGTTTTAATGCTACCAGGGCAGTTTTTAACAGATGCAGCAAAGACACAGGGTCCACAAAGCCAAAGCACTTAATGCCTGGCCCTTTCCAGAAAAGTTTGCCTACAACTAGTCTACACCATGCCAGGCACTAAAGACAGAAAGCTTGGTTATTCAGCTCTGTAAGTTATCATGTCCATTTTACAAGTGAAGGTAAAGTGCCCCTCCACGGCTGCAAGCCACATCAAAAACACTGGTGACCACCAGGGCATGGTGGTGGGCGCCTGTAATCCCAGCCCTTGAGAAACTGGTGTTCATTCTATGAAACAGCTCACAAGCCCCCATGAAGAGTGGGCCACTGAGCAATGCCCTTATCCTGCCCCCCCCCATAAACCCAGCAAGAGTGGAGTGTTAGCTTTCTGTTACTATGACAAATACCGGAGGCAACTAACATCACAAAAAGAAAAGATTTATTTGTTCAGTTTTGGAGATTCAAAGTCAAACAGCAGGGTTAAGGACATAGCTCAGTGGTACAGCACTTGGCTGGCATGCAAGAGGTGCTGGGTTCAATCCCCAGCAACACAAAGCAAAGTGGACACCTGATTGGTATCTGCTGAGGGCAGTGGATGGCAGCACATCTTGCAAGCACTTACATCTCAAGCCAGAGGCAGAGAGAAAGAGGATGGGAGGAATTGGGCTTGCTTCCTCTACAACAATCCTCTCTCAAGAGTTCGCATACCACTATTCCAGTAATCTGAGGGCTTTCCATACCCGCTAGCTCCCCAAGATTCCACCACTACCTCCCAATAGCACCACCTGGGAACCAAGCCTTTAGTACACGGGTGTTTGGCGAAAACTCAGATCAGACCGAAGCCACAGCAGAACAGCCCCTGACTACCTCTAGGCCCGCAACCCCCATGTAGTGGACTGACACCTAGTGGTCAATTTATAACCCCGGCTGAACTGAGTAAGCATGGTGCCGGGTGTGGGAGGCCCACCTGAGGACTGTTGCCAGCAGCATAAGAGGCAGACCTGGTGAAGAAGAAGTTAGGCTGTTGGGAGCACAGAAAGGCTGTTGGAGCTGGCAGAAGCTGTAAGGAGCTGTTGGTTCTGTTGGAGGAGCTCATCATGCTGGCTTTCCTGATGAACTTGGCTGTTTTTATCCTCTGAGGAGCTTGGGACCTTGTTGGTAATGAGAATGGCTTTGGTTCACTTTGGGGGAGCTCTGGTCCTCACTTTGAGCATCGCTTCCTGGCTCCAGAGGAGAAGATGGTGCACTGCTGGTCTTCTGGAGAAGCTTGCTGCATTGGCTTCCCTGATGGGAACTCGGCCATCTTGATCATCGGAGGAGCTCAGGACCTCACTGTTGCTAAGGATGGTTGTGGTACCTTTCAGGGGAGCTCTGGTTCTTCTGAGCATCGCTTCCTGGCTCCAGTGCAGATCCCTCAGCCTGTTAGCACAGATTCTTCATCCCACTGGCACAGACTTCCTAGATTCCACCACTGACCTTTGGGCCTTCCCAGCACAGATCTTATAAAATATGTGTCCTGTATTATATTGTTCACCTTGCACAATAACCCCCAAACCATAACACCCCATGAGAAGTAGACCACTAAACAATCCAACTGGATGCCCCCATCCCCAAGCAGGAGTGGGCCACTGGGCCACCCCAGGTCTCTACTCTCCTTCACCTGACATCTGCCAAGTTGGTCATAGAGCAGAACCTGGTCTGGTCCCACCACTGCCTGGGTGTCCTTCTCCTACAGCATCTTAAGACCTCTTCTGTAAATGGGCATTCATGTGTTAATCCAAAACTGGAGGCTGGCGTAATTCTCTTTTGTTGGTTTTATTATTAAACCTCTGTGGGAAGGGCATAGTGACAAGCATGAAGGATGGCATGCCAAGGAGGATCTGGCAAAGACAGGGAAGATGACAGAGGGGACCAGCTGGAGTGTGTTGCATGACAAAAGTGGTCGGGCCAATTCACAAGAAGCTACACTCTTATCAGGGGAAAGTGCCGTGGAAATGGAGCTTCATGGGGAGGCAAGGTGACGTGCCTGCGGCAGACGCTGTCTGAGCCACTCTGTCCTCCCAGCATCTGCCTCCACAAGCCAAGGTGTGCTTGCTGGGAACACCTGCCTCTCTGCCTCAGGGCTTGATTTCTGGCTGTGGAAAAGTATTCAGCTACTCAAACAAGCTTGCAGTGTCAGAGGGTGAATGCTCCTGGAAGCAGCTCTCAACCAATGACAATTTCCTCTATCTTGGTTGGGAAGACACCGCTCTCTTCCCTGCATCTGAGATGTTTTCTGCTGTTTCTCTCAAAGTTTCTAGGGACATTAAGCTCCACTTGCCCACAGCTGTCATCATCCTGATGATCCACTTGCTGACTTCTGTGGAAATTATCTATAACAAGATAGAGTCTCTTACGTCAAAGCCTAACAAAATGGAGCCTGGAGGCAGTGCACCTATGTCTCTGGAATTATCACCAGAATGTCCTGTATACATGTCTACAAGAACCATGCAAAGAACTCCTCAAAAACACAGAGCCCCAAACAAGCCACTTGCAGGATCCAGATACGCTTCT